GATATAAAAAGTAGGGCTAAGGGAGGGCGAGTGATGACATAGGAGATCGTTATGGGGAAATGCTTAGAGCATCTCAGGATAAGGTCAACGCTACGACAAATAAACGGGGTAAAATAAAGAAACTTGGTGGTAGATGGCGGGATGAGAAACGACAAAGCTGAGTCGATGTGACGTACAAATAGGCCTGACGGACAAACAGCTGGTTAGAAAAGGCCACACGGAAGTGCGATATTGACCGGGACAGAGAGTTTGACCTCCTTGTAGTGATACTCCATGACCGAGCGGTGAAACAGAACGCGGACTGAATGTCCGAGTTCTCCGTACCGAGGTCAACTTCACATTCGGAAACTCCGCATGATACTGGACTGTGGACCGTGACCAATCAATTGATTAGGCAGAGCTGCAGGACAAGCCGTAGTTTCCCGTCCTCTGGACTTTCCATTCCACAGCTGCACGCCATTCGTCGACTAACCACTACCATTACAGCAGCTGCAAGTGCGGACAGACCCGCTCTTCCTTTCAGCGAATTCCATGGTCACTGGCGTTAGAACCGGGTGCATTAATCGACCTTGTCCCCAGTCACACAAGGCATTGTCATTTATCAAAGAGGAAACGCGCCACAGGTCGTAGTGCCGAGTTATGAACGGGCATTCAGTCTGCCCGTGGGCGCCCGTCCACCGTTCGCTCGATATATACAGCCGCCAATGCACCTTGCACATCCACACATAACGACCGCACACACGCAAACACAGAAATACACTGCGCACAGACATTCACCGTACAAGCTGGGCAGTTAGCCATCAATCTCCAAAGCAAGTACGAGCTACACGGAAACACAACATGATAATCACCAACCTAAGCGGATACAGGAATGAAAGGAATACACTTTGCCAGCCCTACTGGTCAGAATTCGGAGACAGAGAGAAACCAGAGGAACCCGACAGCAGGACGAAGAAGCAGGAAGGCTGATGAAGTATCGCTCTCACCGATTCTCTGATGGCCAGGAACGTGTGGCACATCCAGCGCCTGGTGGTGCCGTCACGGCAGATGTAGCTGAAGCCACGCTCGTGGTTCCTGTCCGGCGCGCAGAACGACACCTTCTCGATCGTCTGGTCCACGATCAGGTCCTGAGGAGAGGTCAGGTCAGGTCAGAACGACGCCTTTTGGATGGCTTGGTCCACAATCAGGTCTTGAGAGAGGTCAGGTCATATCAAAAGGTTGCTTGCTTTGAGAGCTCGGTGTATAATCGAGCACTGTTTGCGACAGGTCACTGATCAGATCAGGCTAATTGGAGCGGAGCATAGTGTTGCAATAACAGTAAACAGAACTGAGGAGACGACGAAAACCTAAGGCAAATGATGGTTATATTTTCATATACACCCTTCTTATCGCATATAGGGTACAAGCAGGGTGGTAAAAGGAACACCTGACGACAGTGTTGAAAGATTAACATAGCCCCGAATCTGAAAAGCTCGGGTACACTGAGAGTACAGTGAGCTCTAAATTTACCATCCGGTGTCCTGGTCACTTCTTACCATCGTCTATCATCGACCACGGCATCATCATCATTCATCATCGACTTCTTACCAGGGTTGTATACCAATCAAGTCGATTGAATTGATTGATTTGATTCAGCGCGTATTTTGAGTTGATTGGATTGAGTCGATTGACTTTTCGAGATGACTGGTTGACTGACTCGTTTGACTTTAGCGACTGGTTGACTGATTTGATTCCCGAAAATTAGAGTGACTCGTATGATTGAGTCGATTGAATGGAAAGTTGAAATAAGTTTTAGTTGACGAAAAATAATGACACCAATTGATGACATCAAAGATCACAAAACTACACTGAAAACTGCTTGTCATCACAACTGCAATATGGAGTACATGGCCAAATAAAGAACAGGGCCTAAACATGAACAGCCAACTTTGACTTTCAACTGCAATAACTGCTCCAATCCTGTGATAGAACCTGGCGATGCACCTACCTACCTTTCTGCACTCAGCAGGATTTTTTTTTTTAATCCAGATGATAAAGTGCAAGGCCCTATATACTAATAAAGTGTGATTAATTACTAATTCACATCTCCACATCTCCTCCCCCTACAAAAATAACTGAAACAAAAGCGCCGTTTTCGTCTCGCTAATTACGTTTACATTAATAGCTAATTTGCTGCATTGTTTAATTTGCAGCAGAACGTTTGTTGATCCTTTTCTCCTGAGAGCCTAGGCATAACATATTTAATATATTTCATTTTCCTTAAAATATTTTACCGAATATTATTAAGTGGTTTTACTTCAATTGAAATAATAATTAAAACGAAATTGGTGTTGCACAACCGATTTATTTTATGATGATCTACCATACTACATGATAATCAATGACGTCATCTTACCAAAAAATCAAAAGACGAAGAATAAGGATTTATAAAAGCTTAGCATACTTCTTGGCAAAACGTTTTCTTTGTTTTTTCGCAGTCGCACCAACGGCATTTAATTTTCCTTGTTCTTCTTCCTTTGTCCTTAAGGGTGCGATGTTAATGTTAAGTCAATGGGAGGTGAAAAACCGCAATATCTTGAAAACCGATAGAGATATTAGCCTCCAATTTGGCATGTACCTGCTCCATGGGTATACAAAGCCTACTTTGGACAAGTTGTTTGATTCCGTGCAATATTCACGTTGATATTGCACGATAAAGGTGGAAAAACTGAAAAGTTTGAGCCGAAATTCATTAAATGTCATTCAAACTAGGCGCAAAAAATGAATGGCACCCGCATCTCCTCAAAGTGGACAACAATTCTATGTACTCCGATTTTCCATTTTCTTTTTGCAATGTTGCAAAAAATGAAAGTTAAACTTTGCTCATCTTTCATTTTTTGTGTAAGGCATAAAACAAAAACCGGCTACATAGAAATGTGCACAGAACATTTCTTCACACGAAAATGAAGTTTACTTTTCAGAAATATCTGAACTGTGACTTGAATTAAGCCCGATTCATATCCACTTTTTGACGGTTTTGTTGGTTCAAGGGAGTGCCGCTAGATGTCGTATGGGTCTCCGCCTCGGTCCCTGCCGTTCCCCCATGTAATAAAACCCGCTAGTCGCGCCGACCGGCGGGGAGGGACTGTCAACACACGTGGTTTACGGTCTGGGGTTCCCGCGTGTGCCGGTGGCCGTGAAACTCTGCCGGAACAGAAGCGAACTCGGGGTTGTCGGAGGAAAATGCGGATGGTGGGTGGATTGAATGAGATTAGTGGATTTTATATAAGTAGTATATCGATACACAGGTTACCAACTAGTAACTACCAACCTTGGCGCCTATACTTTACCTTCTCCCCTAAATAAACAATCGTATTGCATGTGAACTGTGATGGCATGCTTGAATTTGATTGTGGCCAATCTGTCTATACGTCAGTAATATTACAATCGCATAGTACCTACTCTGAAGCTGCATTTGTATAGCGATCACAATTCACAACACGTCGGCAAATAATGTGGTATCGGTATATAGCAACCACATGGTGAAGCTCAAGACCAAGAAGGAGCAACCAGTACTTCTATGTATTGTAATACTCACGGAAAGTAATAAAACAGTGCATCAGTAGTTGCACATCAGCGATGCATCACACATAAATCCCCAGTATGGCGTCTGCTCTGCTGACACAGTGCAGAGGCGAAGCCATTGAAAACATACCAGTATAACCGGTACATAATATTGCATCCATGGCATGCATTGACATATTGCATTCGTACATGACACGAAACTGACACAGAACAAGGAGCACAAAATGAGATCGGCATGATGCTGAGCGAATGCTTCAGTTTTGACACGATTGCTGAAATTACCTTAGCTGATGCGTGGTGGACATCTGAGCCAATGATATGTTACATCAAAGTCTCATTCACTGTTGTGAGTCGCTCCCTTTTTTACCCGTTTTGCCATGATGGGATGAGTGACAAAAAAAGTTTCCGCTTGTTAGATGTGTGGCAGGGCTAGTCGCCTCATCCTGTATGTTTTTTTTTTCTTCGCGTCTTTGCCCTTGGGCTCCCTATACCTTGACCGCTCACGGAACGGCATGTGTCGTGCTTTGCGGGGATCTATCATTTCAGGCACGATGCACTCATCATAAAATGCCTTCACTTTTTCCAGTCTGTTTGCGATGAACGTTTCGTCAGCAGCTATGCGCTGACATGACGTTTCGTTTGCTGTCCAGACAAAAAAGTCACAGAACTTTGCACCAGTGCAAGCCAACTGGCACTGAACTTGGGTGTAATATTGGTGACTCTTTTTTTAGCTCAAGTTTGTCGTCAAGAAAAAAAAAACTAGTTAGTCCACTAGAAGACGCAGCTGCAGTCTTTCCAGTGAAGTGTTCTCTGCACTTTTGGGACATTTCACTTCTACTATGATGTGATGTCATCAGAAACGATTCCATCATGAGTGGCGGCCAAAAATGGATGCTTCGGGTGCACTACCAGCCCAACTGGTCTTTTCACTTCAGTGTTTGTTTGCTTTTCATATGCTTGTATAGCTAGCTCCTCGTTGACGCGGCCATACTGCAGAGCAGGTGTATCTAAATCTTTTGTTGTATCGTAAAGAAGTCTGTTCATGATGTTTTTGTTTGACGTTGAGTCTCGCATATTCGCTTTTTGGTGAAAGGTTGTCGCAGTGACGCGTTTGCGTCGCTCGCGGTGCCACTCTTCCTTGTCATCAGCAGTGTTCTCAGCGATTTGGGCACGCTCCACAGCAGTGCTTCGGCTGTCTAAGAACTCCTTTGTTTTGAGCTGATATTGCTGAATATCGCGGTCCTCTAAGTCGGGTGCTGCACAGCCGGGTCCGTAGTCCCCATCTGTCCCCGCGAGAGAACGCCGGACGTATCTGCTAACCCTTTTGGCCGGATCGTTGGGACGTTGGAGACGTTTCTTTTGAGCGACATTGACATTTTTTCATGATCTTTGTTGGACTTTTTTGATATTTTTGTTTGAAAACATCGATGTGCATCTGGCTGCCGGACTGGAAGGCTAAAGCTGCTGCGGCACAGCGGTCATGGTACGGGGACCCGCAGTTGCTACTGTACACGAACCCCAAGTCTAACCGTCTGTCCTGTCCAGTAACAACCGATAACATTGATATCGACTGCTGGTCCCTGTACAAGAGCAGCTGAGGTTTCCTGTGAGTACCCTCTGACAGCTTATCGTTGTTCCCTGTGAGGGTGCTGGGACAATTTACTCAGGGTCGCTATACAGTAGCAACTCCGGGTCCCTGTACCTACCCACGTTTGTGGTAGTGGTTTACCCGTTTACCGCCGAGGGTTTTTGCCACCTGCGACATCAAGTTTTCGGCTAGGTTGCTGGTAGCGTCGTACGTAAGCAACAAGACTTCTACTTTTGTTGGGGAGGGGAGGGGAGGGGGAGGAGGTAGAGCACTGGCAGTGGCACTGGAGAAGCAAGTTAAATTATCATCCCTTCCATAAGTATAGCAGCCGTTTGAAAAAAGGTGGATAGTAAGTAGGTATAGATATTTCTATGAAGTTCCCAAGGAACATATTACATGGTTGCAGTCCATAAAATGCAGCCTGCTATAAAAGCAAACAAGCCTACCAATGCCTCGTGTACCTATAGGTAAAATTGATATTTTGTAATATTTGTAGTTTGTACCTACCTATCCAGTCCAGAGTCTACTTGATATAATAAAGTTATGCGCATGGGGCTTAGCTTCAAACGACATCCTTTCAAATGAGAAATAGATGAAAAATGGAACACGAATCTTCCAGCTCATAGTCTGCTCCATTAAGATAAGATTGTGCGCATGGGGCTTAGCTTCAAATGAGAAAATAGATGCTGAACTTCCCGTTGTTGCCATGGTCTCGTTTAATTGCGTCAAAAAGTCTGACTTTTGTTGGCTTCAGGAGCAGTAGAAACCTTATTACAAGGCATATCGTTATATTCTTCATGTAAAATCAAACGTTTCGTCTCTGAACAAAGACATCATCAGTGAAGTTACACACAACAGTACATATTATGAGAAAATAAGCAATCAGGCGACATAACAAGAGCAACACAGTATCGCACATAAAATCATGCATAACATAAACGTTTCATCGTTACCTAGGGGTCCTTGATGAAACATGAAACGTTTATGATATGCATGATTTTATGTGCGATACTGTGTTGCTCTTGTTATGTCGCCTGATTGCTTATTTTCTCATAATATGTACTGTTGTGTGTAACTTCACTGATGATGTCTTTGTTCAGAGACGAAACGTTTGATTTTACATGAAGAATATAACGATATGCCTTGTAATAAGGTTTCTACTGCTCCTGAAGCCAACAAAATTCCCGTTGTTGTTACGGAGCGAGCGAAGCAAGCGAAGTCTTTTCAATATAACGGATAAATCTCAGTAAGAGCGGCCCGGCCCGACCCGGCCCGGGCTGTAACGCTTTTGAAAGGCTAAAAAAAAAACTCAGCAACCGCTGGGCCGATTTACTTGCGGTAATTTTTGTAGGGTAGCTTGATTCCATCTACCAAGTATTTGACTTCTTTCGATGCATGTGGGTGACCCCCTATGCACGTGCCACGTGCAAAACGAAGAGGAGTCATTTTTGTAACGATTGCAATATCTCGGTAGTTACTGGGCCGATTGGCTGAAACTTTGCATGTAGGTAAGCAGTAGGCACCCACTAGGCAATGCATTTTCATGTCCCACAGTTCATGTGGGGTGCTGCTGCACGTGCGGACGTGCAGCGGTCGATTCCAGATCTCGAGAACGGCTGGACCGATTGCGCTCAGATTTGGTTAGCGGTTAGGGATCCGTTAGTAGGGTGCCGTGCAAAAGTCAGTTGGGACCCATTTTGCACGTGCGCACGTGCAGGGTGCCGCTTCTAGATCTCGAGAACGGCTGAGTCGATTGCGCTCAAATATGGCACATTGCTAGAAACCGGTTAGTAGAGTACCGTGCACAAGTCAGTTGGAGGTACCCCCTCACAATTTCCCACGTGCAAGGCCCACCCTCTCGCTCGCTCCGTTTGTCGTCCTATAAGGCGTTTTACTGGTAGTATGTGTAGCAATGTGAATCTAGCACTGCATTTCACTAAAACAATGCCGTCAGGTCAATCATGTGAGGATATCAGACGCATTCTTGTGACTAGAGCTGCGGCAGACTCAATATTCGATAACATGTATCCATATCAAATAATCAGTTTCGTTCTAACTGGGTAGGACGTACCTACACCAGGCTAAGGACGGCGCCGGGAAGGCCTGTCGAGAGACGTGTTCCTTCCGCGCGGTGTTTACACACCATGATCTCCCTCAGTCGGCGCCGCCCGCCGCGCCGGCGCAGTAACCAAACGTCGTTATCGTAAGGGCCGTGAAATGAGGAGGGGGAGAAGGTCATTAACGTGGGAAAAAAGCGCTCTACCCTGGTGACATCTACTGGCTGAGAATCAGAGTAGTAGTGCTCGGACACCAACGCTGAGCGGAGCCACCTCCGAAGTTAACGCACCCTTAACTTATCCTGTGGTTCCAGAGTCCCTGTCCTTTCCGTTTCCTTTTAAATATATTTTTAATGCTCATCCCTATCCCCCAGTCCTAACAGTTTCAAATTGTATTGCAATAAAATGTTTTGAATTCTTCACATATAACCTATCTACCTTCGTTGGTACTGTTGGTAGCCAAGTGACACATCTAGGCAGGTAAGTAGGTACCTACCTGCTTTCCTGCTGTCTTCATAAAGCATACCTAATGAAGTTGTCAAATTTATAGCACATTTTCAACACTTTCATATCAATATGGTGTCAGTGTGGCATGTAACCTAGCTAGGTTCATTATGTTCAGGGTTCAATTCAGAAGAGCTCCGCATAACTCACATAAGAGACAGACGGGGGCTTTACATGAGGTAGATGGCCTGATGACTTAGCTGGAATATGGCCAAAATTAAACTGACAACTTTTAGGTGAAAGGTGGTGATTTGGGTTAAGGGGCGTTTGTTGAAGTCAACTACTGGGTTATTTTGCACCCATTAAATGAAACTTCTGCTCCAATTCTACCCATTGAACCTCAATATCATGATCCACCTGTCCATCACTAGGTATCCTTCCTTATTACATAGAAACTTTGAATGGCATGGCAATTTATAATTTTAAATGACAATATTTTTGTTTCTTCTGTAGGTAGGTAGGTAGGTAGGTAGGTACACCAGACTGCTATGGACACTTTTCCAAGTTGGTGGGGCAAAAAACCTAATGTATATCTTGGTTTGAGTCGTTTGATTGAGTTGATTGATTCCTTTCATTGTCGCGTTTGAGTCGATTGAATCAATTCCTGAAAACTGCTCTGACTTGATTGATTTGATTGGTTTCCCAAATTTGTCGTGATTGAATTGATTGCTATTGATTGAGTCGTATACAACCCTGCTTCTTACCTTGGTCTCATCATCGACCACACGCAGGCCGTCTCCGGAGACATACAGAATGCCGCGGAGAGGACGCCGCCGCTGCGACTGGGGACAGAGACGGCCGGAGGTCAAACGCAGGTCACATGGGGTCAAGGGAGAGTGGTTACAAATTGAGGCAAACACTCAGCTGAGCGAGATAGCAGAGGAGAGAACAATTAGTCGTGTTGAGTGTGCTAGCTATAGGCACGTCACGATAAAGAGAATGATCAGAGGGCAAATGGAGTTCGACTCAATGTTGCATACACAATAGCCTGCCACAAACATTAACAATAGTGGTTAGCAATTTAGCTGGTTTCAATACGGATTACGGTGTCGACACGAATTTCCAGATCCCTTCATCTTATTTCCAGAGCAAGATGAAGGGATTAAGTGGAGCTTGGAAAGTTCCAACACATGGAGCGTTCATTGAAATTAACAGCTCCCTCCAATGCAAGGAACAAAATGATTCAATCTCAGTTGTCATTTCAGGCAGCAAACTTTCCAATGGAATGCTCAAAGTGGTTTAACATCAGTTGTCATCCCAAGAGTTCAACTTCCATATTGGGAAGTTCGAACTTAGAGTGGTGAGTTTCCAAGATCGGTCGAACCTTGCCACTTAGTCCGGAATCAAAGTAGGACGAGTGTTCATCATTCTCTGACGTTTCATTTCAACTTTGCCAGCGCACACAATTTCATCTGGTAGTGTGCATCGAGATCATCAATTAACAATGGGCTTTGTAGGAACAGATTAGCGCATAGCAAAACAATAAATTGTGATCGGACAATTGAACGATATACAGGCGTAAAAGCAGCATCATATGAACTAAAAATACCTACATCCCTCATCAATATCGACCCCAACCGAATGGTTCCGTTTATTAGGCCGAAACTATCTATTCCACCCTAATGCCTTCGGCACCAGCCATCTCTATTCGAAGCGCGCCATCATTCCAAGGTCACAGCCACTCATAACCGCACGCCATCGACCGGCTGTGACTCATCAGGCCGTCATCATCGGTCGCTGGAGTTCTTTTCTGCCAGCACCTACTCGCCAGCCCGTCGGTGCATATCACGCCTCGATCAGTTAGAACCAGGAGGTGACTCACTGCGATCACCTCCGTGTAGAGTCCAGCAAACAAATCTGACCAGTCTGTCACTGCCAGCGGCGACAAAAGCCGGATGGCACAGGTGACGTCACCAGGAATTCACCGCGTGACGTCATATGAGTCTATTGATGTCGCAAATACCTACGCAGTGGCGCCGGTACGAAGAATGTTTAATTAAAATGTTGACTGGGTGTCAGGCTCGGAATGGCGTGCAGCCGCGTGGATGGGTCGTTCGAGCAGCAAAGAAGCGTTATTGGATGTCACCGCAGCTAATGGGTTCCATATAGACGCGCTCAAAGCCAGATTTCATCCTACCTTTTCTACCCATTCCTCGTTAGAAAGATTCAAATGTCAATCTAAAATAGCTGACACGACCAAACGAGGACTGCTCTCCCCGGCGAAATGACTCGGTTAAATATATAGGATGCGTCCTGCAAAATATGAAACGTTATCAGTAGGCGTATGAGGGCTCAGTAGGCGTATCAGTAGGCGTTTAAAAATATAATTTCACCTAGTCCGGCTCGTCCATTTTAGCTGCGAACGTATATCACCTTTTGATGCTTTATGAGACTTTGTCGCCGACCCAGCTTTGTTCATAATACCACCCTGAGGCACCGAGAGGGCAGACCTAATCCTCCCCTTCCCCACCCCCCTGGGGAGGGGGACAGACTGATGGCGCCAGACCTCAGCCGTCTAGGAATTCCGCTCGATTCCCGCTGCAGTACAGATCCATTCCCGGGGCTCAATTTCGGGACACAACGCCCGCCCATCTGCCGGAGCCCGGGCGTGGCTTTGGGCGTGTGCGAGGCTTCAGGACACCTCATGTAGAACTATTCATGGAAAATTGAGTTTCTTTCCAGAAGTCTGGAGCACAGCAGCCCAACAAAAAAAAAAACTCGGCGTATCCAAGACAAGACACGGCAAGACGACATACTGAGAAGTGACCAAACATAACATTTGTGTGTTTATTGCAGCTTCACTGCATGTTTCACCGCGTGCCGATTGCAGTCGTTCATTTGGCTCACGAAATAAAATATACCTAAAGGTCCTCCCCCGCTCCTACCGGTAAACCCGCACGCTGAAGTCGATTCCACTTACCCGGACCAGCTTGAGGGCATCCTCGCAGACCTGCATGCCACGTGACTCGTACACCTGCACGCAGCCCAGGTACTGCAACAGAGGACAGACATCAACTGTTAGTCACGTGATCTGTGAGCCCAGTCACACACAGCCTGGGCACTACAACAGACACAACAGACACCTGCACAGTGCACAGTCCAATGCATACTGCAACAGAGGATAAGCACCGCCTTCCATGCCACGTGACAGTGAGAGCTCTGGGCCATTAGCCTGAGCTACAACCCACGTGCTGGTCTGCGGAGGCCTGGACCGGGAGTCTGGACCGTAGCGGGTCGGGGTCGAGAGGGGGGGCAGGAGGCGATCGTTCCACCGCACAGTGGGCCAGGCGCATCAAAAAAGCGGAATTAAGTCGAAAATCCACTTCGGTGAAATTCCTGTAATTATGGGATAGAGTATTGTAAAAATGTCCAAAGTTTCCGAATATGCAAGTTTCCTTTCCCCAATGTCAAGGCAGATAATGCTATAACGTCGCAAAGTAGGACTTACCGACTGGAGATGGAAATGACTGCTGTGTACCATATTCCGTTCCCCCGATTCAAAAGCTCTCAGCGTAAAATCATTAAAGTTATTCCGTACAAAATAGCTTTAAAAAAACAGCCGGTATTTCTGCGCATGTTTCTCGTACTCAAGTTCCTGGGAACTATTTCATGCTTACTAGTAGCGGTGGGGTTTACAGTGCCTGTTCGGAACCGTGGTAGTGCAACGACGCAATGAATTTATATAAGGATATAAAGAAAACGTCACCGAACAACACGAAGATATTTGCTGCCTGACTTTTCTCAAGGTGTATAGCTTGCTGCCCAATGCAAATATTTTGCGCATTTTTGCGCGAAATGGACAAATAAGGGTTTAACCCTCGCCGGCATAGGCCGTTTTGCATCCCTCGACGGCACCGGGGGATGCGACCCTCCTCGCGTTTGGCCCCTAATTGAGCTAGAGCCTCGCGGAAAAAACCATCGTGTAGGTCGTCACGAGACGAAGCCAACGGTACCCGGGTTTAAGGTCATAGGTCAAATGGTGACCTCTGAGGTCAGGTCAATGGCCGAAAGTCGGGACGTGTTAGAACGTCGTATAGTGTGGCTGCTAAGGGGTTTTTCGGGATGCTGATCACGAATATCATGTTAGTTTTGATCACAGATGATGTCTTCATGCATTTAGGCCAGGTCGGGTCAGCTCAGGTCAGGTCAACCAGTATGGGTCCTGCCGGGTATTCGTAGTGGGTGTCAACCCGCCTCTGACAGCTTCGTAACATGTTACGAAGGCACCAAAACTACTTCGTAAATGTTCAAATGGTTCCTAAATTCGAATTCAGTTCCAAAAACTAGCCCAGAAACATGTAAAACTCGAAAAAGTGAACCGAGGTCATCGAAGGTCAATGACCTGACCTGACCTTCAGGTGACCCTTAGTCCCTTACACCCACCGTAATGCATGGGACCAACATCATATCACATGTTTGAACGCTTGAAACCACGAAAAGACTGCAAACGCGCGGCCAATGCGGCATAGTGCCCGCCTGTCCCAGGCATATGTGCAGCGCAGAAATTAAATAATGACGTCATAGGTCAGTGACCTAGCGTAACCAATCAAATTTGAAAATGGATATCGGATTCGGCTTTAGCATGATATTTTACCCTGTAACGAATCATTTTTGGCACCGCAGCTGTGCTCATTGATTTAATTCCGCTTTTTTGAAGCGCCTGGCCCACTGTGCACCGTACCTGGCAGCCTGACGCACCGGCCACCGCTCGGAAAGTTTACTCGGGTCTGAACAATGGCTGCGGCCGGTGCCACCGGACCCCAGAGAGTTCCACCCGATACGGGACGCACGTAACTCGGTAGCACGACACGGACGGAACGACACGCGAGTTGGGCTCGTGACACTACCACCACTGACTCTGGCACCGACACCGAGAAGCTGCTACTGGTGACACCTTTAAGACTAAAACCGGCACCGCGTACATGGCAGACGGTAAGCAGGGACGCAGCACACAAGCACAGGGACAAATCAGACCGGCATAGCACAGAGACACAGTCACACGACTCAGTCACATAGACAGCGTCCATCAAAGCGTCGCAGTCACTGCCAACGCGCTGCAATCTGGCGTCAACAAATATCACGGTAATATATCCGCACCTCCAGCCTCAAATAATACCTATCCGTGATATTCACTGTTCCGAAAACTCGAAACGCGACCCCGTACAGTGTGGGCACAGTTCAGTGTAGCAATTCAGTGCAGCTATACACGTGCCAACCATGAGGCCAGCGCGCGGGCGGAGTACCTACCATTTGGGTCAGGCCGAACAAAGGCTCGTGTAACAGAGTCGCGAGGGCTCGCCTGCAGGTTGGGCCCGACCCACCCCACTGGGACATTACCCCACTCCATTCTTGGAGCGAGATCAGCTGATAGGTCAGTGGCGCCCGGCACGCTAGGAAAACCTGGGGTATGAGGAGGGACACGGGCCACAGTGACAGACGACAGTGGCCACAGAGGCCGGGTCGATGTAAAGGGGAGACGGAGTGCATGCGACGAGACTTTGTAAATGCGAGGAAAACAGGTAAAAGAGAATCAGAGAAGGGCCAAAAAGTGGGGTAACATTGACAGGAACAGGGTGATAGATATGTAAGAGGATGTTAATGTTAGGCATGCGGGCTACACGTGATTCAAAAAACGTACTCGCAACGCATTCAGCGCACTACAAATTATTCAGCAAATCGTTTCAGTACAATATACGGCACAGTTCACAAGAATGACGCCACAACATATCAAGAAACCAGAGAAAATAAATACAACTAATGCATCGTTTTCCACAAACTATTATAATCCCTTTGTATACGAGAGCAAAACACAAAACGTTCCATCACCGTAATCCGCTGCACCGGTTGCCCTTGTACCCAACTAGCAAGAATCGGGTTCTCACTTTTCTTCGGAGTCCTATTTATGGAAAACCAGTTCCGTGACCTGATCAGAACCCATCGATCACATATAGCGGTGGCTGGCTCACGGGGCGGCTACCGACAGGTACCTAAATAAGGCGGTGTGTCACTGTCTCACCAGTCTCGTTGCCACGCTGCCAATCGAACGTTTAGTGGAGTCTCATGCCTAGCTAGCCGCCCATCGAAAGGTGAGCAGTCCCACCAGTCATTAACCAAAAACAAGAGGTGCTCTTCCTCACCCGCCACCCACCAAAGGACGAGTGGTAAGTCTCACCTCTCGTCAACTATCCACCACAACAGAACAGCACAGCTCAGCTGCTCAGGGGCGTATCACCCGCGGTGCGGATCGTAGCGGTAGGATCAGGAGCGGGTCACACCACACGCCTGACCGCACAAACAACCGGAGGCGAGCGGTCACACACAGACACACAAACAGGACCGTATCGCACGGCGTGCTGATAGCGGGAACGAGGCCACTGTGCCGACAGGAGGTTATGGGACCCCACGGGGAAGCCACCGGACGGTGTTGTGGGCAGCCTGCGGGTCTTCCTGCGGTTAGGAGGCGCCGGATAAGTGCGCTCCAAATGCGATAAACAGGGAACTGTAGAACAGGGTAAATACGAAATGCGAGGAAATACGGGCACCACGATGCCATACAAGCCACCGAACATCTGTTAGGGCGAGCTAGGGAAGCACCAAAACTAACTGATAGGTCGATCGTCCATTCCCATAGTCACCTGTTCACACTCTTAAATTTCACTTAGATCGGCGCCGCCACATCTCATTTTCTCGTCTTTAATAATTCCATCCCACCCCACCCTCTCTTTGTCCTCCCATCCACTCTGTCTTTGACCTCCCGACCGATCTTTCTGTCCACGCATCACATCCCTTCTCTCCCCCTACCCCATCCCACCACGTCTCCACCCTCACCTTGACGTGGAAGGAGCAGGTGCCGGCGCGCACTGCCGCCTCGTCTGCCTGCCACTGGTGTGGCCGCGACGACTCGGAGCTCCGCGGCTCCTTCTTGCGCCGGAAACTGTCGCGCAGCGATCGCCGCAGCCGGTCCATTCTGCGGTGCTGTCGCTGTTCTTCGGACTCAGCTGCACCTGATCCCGAGCCGCCGCCTCCGCCGCCAGAGCCGCCGGGCGCGTCAAGGCGCTCTGCCTGTAACGAGAGAGGAGAGTTAGATGGTGGCGAATAGGCGGCCGGTGGCAGTGCTGAGGTGATGTAGTAAAATCATCTATTGAGCTAGCAGTTATCACTGTATGCACGGAGAGAGACGTTTGAAAGGGACAGTTTATGTTGGTCATGGCCGCTGTGTTGAAATACGGACCTGGGGCGATGTTGGTCATGCACGCAGACGCCATGTTTGAACCTCAGTGGGATGTTTGCATGACTGGATACATGACAAGGTGAGGCAACACCCAAGCGGTAGACAGCCCGACGAAGAACTCAACCTCCATCCGACACAGGCGGTGAGCTTCTTGCGAGCTCCACCAAACGATCTTCCGTTCGAACACCTCAGCACGTTTCAGCACTTGGACAGGTGTCAGTGGTGAGCAAAAACGTGACGAGACCAGCCGTCCGCCCACCGCTCCCCTCCATTCTCCGACAGCGGACGGTACTTCCTGCGAGCGGTACCTCCTGCCGAGCGACTGGGAACAACACTTCGCCGTCCCAGTGAGCGGCCGCGGGCTACGAGCTGCGCGCTCCACTGAGTCGCGGCGGAGGCCGACTGAACGACCTCGCTGCTGACACAATGCACCGCACGATCGAATGCCGCGGCACAAGTGAGATGCAGCTGAGAGAGTGGGGCAGAGAAAAGGCGCATACAGGGTAAGCAGCGACGGACGAAGCGAAACAGCGGAGGAAGCAGTAAAGACAGCGGGCGGAGGTGCCTGATAGCGACAGAACCTCCATCGCCAAATCCCGCACTAATCTCGTGACACGCCGCGCGCCTCAGGTGGGCGGAGGCGAGGGATGGAGCTGCACGAGCCGCCTGTTGCATCGTGCACTGAGTACGCCCGAGTGCACAGTGCACACGGCGGCCCCGGCACGATACAGGGTCACACCGTGCCTCTTCTCCGCCCGACAGGCGCGGCAGAGGCGGGTGATGACGTCAGCAGCCGCAGGTGGATGGAATCACGTGATGCATCGAGAAAAACAGGAGATAGAAGCAGGTGTTGAATACTAAATACAGATGCATCATATTTTCCAATGCGCAACATTACATTTGAAAAAGAAAACAGCACGCACTGTGCTAACTATACCGGTTGAATGACAGTTGAGTAGGCAATAGGCATGCCTGTTATGTTCAGCAGCGAAACCAGACGATCCGTTATTCCTTTTTATGAATGTGCTTTGTAAGAGATTAATCAAGCAGCTTCGTTAACGTCATTACAACTGCGCCTGCAGCCTCAACAGCCCGCTAGAACTGGTTACATTGTTACAGCACCGGCTAACACCATGTTTGACAAGCTCAAACCGAGCCGAACCACGCGTTCCAGAAAACCTACCACGACAGCTTTTTCAGCTGCGGTCGTTTGGAGTCCAGACCGATGTCCTGAAATAGCTTAAATTGAGCGAGTGAATTGGAATTTATTTGCCTTTGGACAACGTGTCTCGAACACGCTCGTTAGCTTTTCCCTGAATCATCCAGCCAGAAATTCAGAGGAGCCTTTCTTAGACCGTTTTCCCGAGACACACAGACGGGTGCACTTCAAGGAACGGCTGAGATTCTTCAGCTGACTCAAGTGTAGCCGCCCATCTCACGGTCCAACAATGATTGTAACGCGGCATCATTTAGAGTCACCATTAGAGTGGAAACGCGCCAGAGGAGTACCCACGACAGAATACAGAATACGGCAACAGAACACAGCGGCACTGGAGGAAACACACTGACGAATGTTTCCTACAATACGACGATGAAAACATTCGGTAAGGAGCATCCCTAAAGGGATGCTCCTTACTCCTTAAAGGGAAGGGATACTGTGTCTGGCAGCTCCCGCTCTGCTCCGTTCCTAAGGGCGAGAACGAAAGTAGCATAACATTAAATTAAAAGCCAGAGGGCTTGGCAAAGACAGCCTGAAATCTGAATCACTTAGTGGTACAGGATGTATCAGCCATTTGTTGCTCGATGGCGCTAAACAATACCATTTCTTCCTTTCAGCGAGCTTCGCCCAATCTCGTTCACCCTTTTCAGCTTCCATGTGGCACGCGTTCCATCATAAATCCGGAGCTTCTACCATATCCCCCCCCCCCCCACGTCTTCCCTCCGGAATTCCAATCCATCAGGCATTGGACCCGCGGGTCGTCCAGATTATTGCTAGGAAGTGGCGCTAGGTCCCCGCCGGCTGTCTCTGCGCCTTCCCTGGGGCCAGTGATTGGGAGTGGATAACGCCCACCTCGGAGCGTCTCCAGACAGCGAACGTAGCCTGCTGTGTGATTACGGAGCAAGATGGTCTACAAACGGGAAGGGGTGAATGAGCTGCGAGCTGTTGAGCGTGCTCAAATGGGGTCATGATGTCTCATAAGAAAAGCATCAACTAGGAAAGAGACGGCCAAAATGCAAGGAATAAGAAGAAGAGGGGAAAGGAAGAAAAAGGATTGTAGCCTGACGGGGTGAAAATAAATAACACAGATACAAAATATAAATACCAGGTACAAAACGGCAGTTCATCTAGCCACGATAATCCTAGCCACGACAATCCATCTCCCCAGGTCGCGCTGACCGGATCCGGGAGCCGGCTGCATGGCCAGCGCTGCAGACGGCTGCTGATGAGCTCATCCCTTGATCCGTCACTGCACCGCCGGGCAGCCGGGACGCCCCAAATAGTCTCCAGCCGGCGGGCCGGGTCATTCCCGAACTGCGGTAGCTAGGGCGCCCGGACCCGGACCGGACTCGGAGCCGGAGCTGGCCCGGAGCTGTGGCCTCGGTGGCTATTCAATACTGCATCATCGACCGACCGACCGCCGGCCGGCCGGCTGAGCCGTGGTGGTCTGCCTGCCCAGCGTGGTCCGGTGACAGGCACTGTGCAGTGTGCACTGTGTCACGCAGAGACATGATTGGTCGCGGAACATGGGAGCGGGCACCCAGCAAGTAAAAGTGTCCCATGAGCTCCTCCAGAGGGGACGCCAGGTAAAGGATGACTTTCACGAATGGTTGGGGATGAAGAACGAGTTGTAACATTCTGAGAATCTTCATTAGGTGCGATGATAGTAATGTTTTCTGACAGCCCAGGGCCGAGGCAATAAACACAATATACCAATGACAAAAAAAAATAACTTAGGTACTGCGAATACTGAGTAGTCACTAAGCCAGATATAATGCCGTTGAGTGTGGAACTTAAATCCAGTAAGGACTGGCTCAGGGCTCGATCCTCCCGCCAGTGCTGACGAAGAAAGATTGGATGAGTTGAGTGGGGAGCTAAGCGCCTGAGGCACAATCTCGAGCCCAGAGCCACTGCAGAGGGGCCGGACTAACCCGATTACACCAAGTGAGAGACGAGTTACCAGATAATCCAATCGTGAGGCTCGCCCCGTGCTAAACCGATCTATACAGAACCGAGTTCAACAGACCATAATGAAGCCTGATGGAATAACAGTAATGTGGTTAAATTTACAATGAGTTTAGACTGAAGCCAGCTTCGTGATTATAAATCCATGAAATCCATGTTCAGACAGAGCGTATTACCCAAGTTCATGGGCGTCTCCGCAGGCGTGCGAGACAACGCCTCCGAAACCCTTCCATTGTCCCAAGTTCGTCTCACTCACTATGCACAGGCAGCAGCTCTCACCGCTGTTTCAAGCTATCCAATCTCGAGAAGGTACAATAGCTACTCGGCGAACTTCCGAGCGTCCCCAGAGAAAGCCCATCGACCTCGGCAATCTCATGTCCGAGCCGATGACACTGCAATGCGGCGTACACAGCTAGTCGCCCAAAAGTTCACTTTGTCCAGATTGCAGAAGACTCTGAGAAGGTCGAAGTTTACATAATGGTGCCCGTGAAATGTCACGACATCATGGAGCTGAATTACGTCCCAGCGGAGGAAGTTAGGCTTTGATTGTTGTTGGTTCTATAAATCAAGGTGAGGATGGCGAAGTTGGAATGTATACCTCGCCACGTCTTCTGATGCGTTGGATAATGCAGGTGAAGTATTATATCGTAGGAGTTCTCAGCAAACATCGCATATCTTACGATTTACCATTTCAGATGAGCGTGAAAATGACAAAAGGCTTCCTGATACGAACTTGTACCATTACTCTAACCATAGATAACATGAATCTATGCTCGAACTTCATATTTTAACGTATTGTTCGAGATTTCAAACGACTTCAGCCTATGACAAAGAGACAAAGCCTTTGAACGGTCAGCCCCCTCAGCGATTCCGAGAATCTCGCGAGCCTGCGGCTCCATGGAATCATGCGCCAGTTCCAACCTATCACATGACTGCAGCTACCGGCTGTATGTATGATGGCGGGATGCAGGATTTGGCCACAGGTCGAGCACTGATGTAGCAGTGGACACCGTCGCTGCAAGGAACCATCCGAGGCAGTGACAGAGGCGACAATGACAGAGGTGACAGTGACATATGAACAGACGTGACGGTGACAGAATGTGACTGTCGGCATTGTCTGTCCGGCTGCAGGATGCCGGTGGTAGATATGTGCGGACAAGGGGAACTCGGGAAAATATTCTGAATATAGGCCTCAAGAGTTGAGTCAGTTCCGATGCCTTGAACTGGCGACGCACGATTTCCGCCATGGTAAGTACCTACCAAGTCCCTGTCAGGCACCAGCCACGGACTCAGATACCATGTCTTGTCGGTCAGATGGACAATGAAAGTCTTAATCCGGTACAAAGACATGAACAGGGTCATTAAGTGGGTTCGATAACACAGACGATGACCTTGGGGTCGGTAGTCATCAGGTTAATCGATTAAAGGGACTATCCCACATTCTAAAATGTTGTTAAAACCAGTTAAATTGTGCCCGACTTTATAGATTGGATGACCAGGAACACGGTTCTGGCATTTATTTTTCATTAAACATCTTAGGCTTCCCATATTCCAAACACAAACTTTCAAATATGTGACGTCACAGCCCAAAATTACCTCCTTCCCCAGGCCACATTACTGCCATAAAGCTGATTCTTTTTACTCTGT